TATCGAATTTAACAATTGGTTGACATTTACCATCAAAAAGTGGCTCTCAGTGTGCTTACTCTTATCATTTAGATAAAAACAATTCTAACTTTAATAATATTAATTTCACTTCATTTCTACTGATAACACTTTAAGCATTATTTATCACAATCTCACTTTGAACATGAGAAAAAATCTTCTCATAAAAGTTTCAAAAATTGCTGTTGAGTGAAAAATGTTTGAAAATTTATTTTTTCCACCAAGTGTGAAGTTATAAGAATTTGGAAAACGAGTGGAAGATTTTTGAATTATTTATGAGAGAAAAACACTCAGACTTGGTTGTTCCTACTAAGAGTTAGCAGACACTAATGGCAGCAGTTAGAATAAGGAGTTCGAAATCGTTCTGCAAGCATCTGGTTTTGTTCTCACAATCATGATAAATCTCGCTTTCAATCGTGTCAGATTCAATATTAATTGCACTGCTCCAAAGATTCCCAGAAACTCAACTTGCTTATCATCTTTATCGAGAAAAAGTTAATTTCATCTTATCTACTTCGTGCAATGACGCTAAACCGCTGTCTTCTTTGTCAACTTCATCAGCACTGCTGAAAACAATCTTCGTGAATTTCATTTTAAGCTTCGCAAAAATTTCATGAGGAAATTTTCGTCGACTATAAAATTTTAATTTATGCATTGAAGTTGTCAACAATTATTTTCCGTGCATTTGTTTGCAATCAACTTCAACAGAAACTTTGTCATGGTGAGAAAGAAGGAATGAAAGAGTGAGAAATAGATACCAAATATGAACATCAAAAGCTCAAAAGTTTCTCTCATTAAATGGTAACGTCACAATTCTTGGTAAGACTTCTCAATATTAATTATAACATTGTCATTAAACTCTCCGATGACATCAAGCATGAGATCAATTGTCATGATTTGTTATCAGTCACAAAAGTTCAATAAGTGGCAGAATTTTAGGTTTTCTTTGTTACCAGCGAATAAAAATTCCCATGACATTCGAAATCATTTGAGCAAGATGAATGTCGAATTATTCATTACATGTTTAAGTTCATATTTTTTATGTTCTTAAGATACGTGCATTCGTAATACTCTTAACACACGATATTTACAAATCAGGAAAATAATTGAAAGAAAGAAGTTTCTTCCATCATTTTCTAACGAATAATTTACTTTTGAAATTGTAGGGTTTTGAAAGTTTCAGAAATTTCTCAATTTTTCTTCGTACCCCTTAACGCTGAATTAGGGGTATTAGTGTTTTAGCAGACGAAAAAGAATTATTCAATAGAAACTCAGAATATTTGCTTTTTAACACATTAAATTGAAAGAAAATGCTAGAATAACAGTATTAAAATGTACATAAGAACCTGATATATGAAATTATTGTGAGTTTGACTCGCCAAATGTGAAAATAATACAAAATTTTATGCAAAAACATAAGCAACAATTTTTTCACAAGAATCAGCTGAGATTCCAAAGAGAAAAAAAGTTCTTTGTAAGTGAATATTTTGTGATATAAAATTCATGAAATCGAATCATGGATAAAAATCCAACTTCCTGAAAATTGAGAGAACATAAAATTTATGAAATTAAAAACTAAAAGTGGAGAAAATATGTTGTGAAAATATAGTAAAGTGATTGTTGATGTTTGAAAAAGCTTTTGACTAAAGTCTCATAAAAATTAACATATTCTAGCAGTTAAAGATAACATAAACATCATTCTTGGTTGAGGAAAAATGAAAACAAAATGTGGATTAATCGCTTTGATGTGGCTAATAATTCCCTTCCTCGAAACTGGCGAAACAGGTAAGTGATTCATTACCATTGCGATAATTATTGAATCTATTACATGTTCGCGAAAGTCAAAAAAAGAAGAAAAAAAGAGAACATGAAACAAGACACACAAAATAATATAGCAGATGCAGATTGATACGGTTGGTTAATTGAAGTTAATGTTTTTGTATGTGGCCACTAGTAGTTCGCTCACCTCGATGTCCCATAATTCCCCTGAACCGAGAAGTTTTATTTCTCGTTTTCACAACGAATTCGTTGTCAATGACTCACCAGTTGTTAATTGCTTCGTTAAAGCTAAACATTGACAAATCGTTGGTTGCGATGCTAATATTCACGGAAGTTATTATAAAATGTTTATATTCTTTTTATTCACCTCTTCAATCCTTCACAACATCGCGCCATCTTGGAAAAAATTTCTCCACAATAATTCCATCAACACCGCAAGGTCCTTTGTTGTGCAATTTAAGTGAAAAAGAAAACATGAAAATCTCGATTATTCAATGTAATTACAAAAGAAATCTAAATCGTTCAAAAATCAGCGAGTTTTCGAGGCAACTGAACGTTTAATTATGTCGTTAACTTCTACAGACTCCCACATTCAATAGCAAACACTCGAGTCCTACATAAATAATAGAAAAAAGAGAGCTTTCGTGTTGTCGAATGTTTACTTCTTCTTTTTTTCAACACGTGAATTGCGTTATACACAGAAAGTTTCGTAATTTTTGGCAATTTACTTCATTGTTTTCTTTATTTTCTCTTTTATTTACCATTCTACAGGTTACGTTAAGGAAAGTGGTAAGTGACAATTTTATATGATTTGTTACGGTAACAATAACATTTAATGATTGAGTACTGTGGAGAATCTATTTCATTTGTATTTAATATCATTTACATTGAAGAACAATAAAAATGAAATCGAGTGGAGGTCGTGCAATGATTAAAGTGAACTAAAATTTACTGTTTTCTTTATTTCTTCTTGTTTTTATGTTCTTCTTTTTGTTACTTTTTTACAGGAAAACGTCTGAATGAATACATATCGCATTATGAGACATTGAATTACGACATAAAACAATTACATGCGAAACATTCGCGAGCAAAACGTGCCATTGGTGAAGACGAGCACGTCCATTTGAAATTCACCGCTCATGGTGAACACTTTCACCTTAGACTTAAGCGAGACTTGACGACTTTTAGTGATAAACTCGAAGTAAGAATTTTGCTTCTGTTTGTTGTGTCTACAAAATTAAAAATTAATGTTTTTGTTTTTACTTCTAGATTCTTCACACAGAGAATGGAAAAGAAAGCAGACGACAATTAGACACAAGTCACGTCTATGACGGAAGCGTGTTAGGTGATAAAGAAAGTTTCGTTCATGGTTCAATTGACAGTGATGGAATCTTTCACGGTCGCATCATCACATCAAAAGATTCTTATTTTATTGAAAAAGCTCACTATTACTTTCCTAATCACAGTCGAATTCATGACAATTTTCACTCAGTCATTTACAAAGATAAACATGTAAATGATCCTTACAAAACCAAACGAACTGTTCACCCAAATGGCTGTGGACTCACAGGTGACGTCTCACAATGGATGGATCTCGTACAAAACTCAGTGGAAGATGAAATTGAATTTGTTCCCATTAAAGCTGAAGAAGATTTAAATGTTAATGCTACAGCTGAAAAGATTAAAAATCAATATGAGCATGTCAACAATCGAATTTATGATGATGACAACTTCCATCATCATAATCATCATGACAAATATTCAGAAGAGATTAATAAAAGATCGAAACGTGCAGCAACAGCAGCACGATATCAAGAACGTAACACTTGCTCACTTTATATTCAAACAGATCCTCTTATTTGGAGACACATTCGAGAGTCAATACCAGATGTGAGTTAACAATTTGTTTCAAATCGAAACAGTTTTTGTCAATATTTTCTATGTTATTCAGCACAACGATCCAAATCGCGCTGCAATTGTTGATGAGAAAGCGAAGGAAGAAATTTTATCACTTGTCGCACATCACGTAGCTGCTGTCAACTTTATTTATCGCAATACAAAATTCGATGGACGAGTTGAACATCGAAATATTCGTTTTGAAGTGCAACGAATAAAAATTGATGACGATGCAGCTTGTAGTGTTCATTATCGTGGTGAACCGAATCAATTCTGTATGGAGAACATTGATGTGTCAAACTTCTTGAATCTTCATTCGTTGGGAAATCATGAGATCTTTTGTTTAGCTTATGTGTTCACTTATCGGTAAGTTTTATTTGTTGCGTGACATGACAAATGACAAACGCGTGTCACGAAACGTGAAAACATCACGTAGAGATGTGTCATGTCACACAACTGTTATAATTACAATACTTAACGCATTCTCTCCAATTCTAGTGACTTCACTGGAGGAACTCTTGGACTCGCATGGGTTGCATCAGCTTCCGGAGCTTCTGGTGGTATTTGTGAGAAGTATAAATCATATACTGAGACAACAAGTCAAGGAATGTATCAAAGTACTCGTCGTTCACTTAACACTGGAATCATCACATTTGTCAACTACAATTCTCGAGTTCCACCAAAAGTTTCTCAATTGACATTAGCTCATGAGATTGGTCATAATTTTGGATCGCCACATGATTATCCAGCTGAATGTCGACCAGGTGGCCCACCTGGTAACTTCATCATGTTCTCAAGCGCTACAAGTGGCGATCGACCAAACAACAGTAAATTCTCTCAATGCTCGATAAGAAATATTTCAAATGTTCTCGATGCCATCGATGATGCAAAGAAAAGAAATTGCTTTAAAGTTAGTGAAGGTGCTTTCTGTGGTAATAAAATTGTTGAGATTGGCGAAGAATGTGATTGTGGCTTCAACGATGATGAATGTCGTGATCGTTGTTGCTATCCGAGAATTGTCAGTGAATATGACTTGGCATTGAATTCATCAGCGAAAGGCTGCAGCCGTCGTGCACGTACACAATGCAGTCCAAGTCAAGGTCCATGTTGTGATCCAAATAGTTGTGCATTTGTTCCCGAAAAAGTTCGCGCTAAATGTCGTGAAGAATCGGAATGTTCATGGAGTTCAATGTGCAATGGAACGACAAGTGAATGTCCCGATCCAAAGCCACGTCAAGACAAGACGAAATGCAACAATGGAACACAATTATGTATTAGTGGTGAATGTTCAGGATCGATTTGTCTCAGTTGGAACAAGACTGAATGCTTTCTCAGTTCAACACAAACTGGCTTCGACAAGCGACGATTATGCGAGCTTGCATGTCAAAACGGCAACGATTCATCATCTTGTCGTTCAACAAGTGAATTTGGACATTTGTATGGATTGCCAAAAGAAGGTATCAGCTTAAGACCTGGTGCACCTTGCGACAACTTCCAAGGCTATTGTGATGTTTTCCTCAAATGTCGTGCGGTTGATGCTGACGGACCTTTACTGCGATTAAAGAAATTACTTCTAAACCACGAAACTCTGCATACATTGAAGCAATATGTGATCGACAATTGGTATCTTTGTGTCTTTTCGGGAATAATGTTTCTCATATTTATGGGCATCTTCATCAAATGTTGTGCTGTGCATACGCCAAGTAATAATCCGAAGAAAGCACCAGCAAGAAGAATCTCAGATACTTTACGTAGACCGATGAATACACTTCGTCGAATGGTAAGAATCTTTCTTCAATTAATTAATGGATGGCTTTGTCTCAATTAATTTTTATAAATTTGTGAATGTAGCGACATCCAGCTAATGTTGCAAGAAGTATTCCACCACCTGGTCATGGTGAGAGAAGATCCGGTCCTGCTCATGGTGGAAGAAGAAGTAATCAATCGAGAAGCGGTCAACAACAACAAACACGACCATCTCAACATGGGTATAATAATCAAAGTGGTCGAGTGCGAGGTCAATAATTATGCTGTTTTTGTCATAACATCATTGCTTTTGTATCATCTTGTGCATTCTTTTTCTTATTGATAATTTGATTAAAGTTCGTATCAAGCATGCAATAAATTTTTTATTTTTCATTTTTCAATTGGTTTGATGAGACAAAAAGAATTTTCTTTCTTATGAAATTCAAATTTATGGCATAATAATTTGGCTTCACACTTTCATCATTTTTTCTTTGTTTTTTAATGTTTATTTTTATAATATTGATTAAGTAAAACATTGGTTAAGGACAAGATGGAAAATGTTCATTAGCGAGTGATCTGAAACTGATATTTTATTTAATTTTTTTAAAACACTTGGAAAAATCATAAATTCTAACGATAACTTTATGTTTTTCTAGCCGACGCCCCGTTAATACCAGTACAGGGTTATAGTAGACGCTCCCAACATGATCCTTATGCTGAAGGCTACAATGAACGTCAGCAATGCGAAATGCAGCTTCGTTACCCACAGCCGGGAAATGCCAAAGCTTGACCAGTGTAAATATCTTTTCCTTTTTTCTTCTTTACTCTCGGCTCATGAATCCTCTTAAGTTTAAGTCTAATTTTTGAAAGATGATTGTTGAAATAATACGCAGAAGACATTTATTATTAGTGAATAGTGATGGTATGTTGGGTCCAGTACATCGATGGAATCTTTTCAAATGAAGATTCTTTACTCAATTTATTTTTGTTGGAGAGCAAGATTAAATATATAAACACTTGCTATGTACGTAGGACATTCAAGTCCATTAAATTAAAAAATCATCAATTCGCTTTAAATAAACAATTTTCAAAACTTATTCTCTGAAACAAGAAATATTTGTAGATTATTGAGAATCGTCTTTTTGTTCCAACCATTTCTCATTTCTTTCTCTTTAAACATGAATAAATATGAACCAACACTGTAAGATACCAGACAAAAGATTAAGAAATATTTTTAAGTGAAAACTTTAAAGGAAATAAAAACAGAAACAAACACAGAATGGAAGAAAATGGCATCAATACGCTAAATGTGATATCATAAAAGAAATCTATTAAAGAAAAAAAAAGAAATATTTTTCTAAACTGCAAATTCTGAAAAGAAAAACATCGGAAAAAAATTCTTCCCTTATATTCTACTTATTTTTGGTGTAAGGAAACGTTTGCATATTATGCATATGAGTAAAAACCTGATTCTTTCAGAAGTCTCCACTGCATAACATAATATGTTTTCGTTTCTAAAGACTTGGAAGACATTTTCGAAACTTAATTTCTATGTGAATTTTCTCTGGAGGGATTTCAATCTTGTGCAATTTCAATATTCCAAGATCTGCTGCATTCATTGTTGCAATTTCTTTGACATTTGTAGAAAGAAAGTTTTCTTTTTTGATTCAAGGGGAGAAAGCTTTCAATTTCTCCCAAAATCGCTAGAGGATTTAATAATAAACGACGACATAAGCGGCAGCCAGAGAATAAAACGTGAAGTGAATTTGTATTTTAATTTTCTTATTCTAAATATTTTAGTTAAATAAAATATTTTTATTAAAGTTTTATCAGCGACGAATCGTGTAGAATAATTTTTGTGTTTGTTTTCTTTTGAAAAATTGTTGTGTAAGATTAGTTGTAAAAATAAAGCAGTGAAGAAATATGCCACAGCTTTAAAAAGGTTTGGTAATTGACAAACAGTTGATGAAATTAATATTGAAATAATTTTTCTGAAAGTATTTAAGTTTGCCAAATAAATTGTAATTTCTGTAATAAGTGATTATGCTGAAGTTATTCAAACACAAAAAACTTCATTTTTCAATAATATTTCTCCTCATTTCTTATAGGAAAACTGCCAAAAACAAATAATTTAAAATAAGAAATCGTTTTTGACAATTGAATCTTTAGGCAATTTCATGTTGCATTGCAATATTTAACTAAAATTGTTTCCCAATCGATTCCTTAAACAAAATATGTATAAACTTTTTCATTTGCCTCGAGAAACTTCTTTTTTTCCTGATAAAAATTGCTTTCTTTTTCATACCAAAACCGATGATGAATTTGTTTTTGATGACAAAAAAGAATTGAAAATTGTTTTTTTTTCTTCCCACGCTCAATACATAAGCGTATGAAATATTTATGTTGTGGAAGGAAGATGAATGAATTCTGTAACATCACATAATAAATACATGAATTGATTATTGATATTTGAAAATTATTTTCGCATCAGATATAAAGTCTCATTGTACAGAAATATTAATTGGTAATCATAAAGTTATGTTGGAAACATTTACGCAATCTCCTATGATGTAAAACCCGGATTATTGAAGAGAAATAAAGATTTATTGTAAATTAATTAAAACTATACATACATGCATAAAAAGTTGTTTTGTTTTACTCACCGTCAATAATTAGATTGATGAAACATCAACTAATTTGTAATTTATCTTATTGACTTTCTAAATGTTCAATACTTTCCGGAATCAGCCTGATTTATCAATTTAATTGACTTTTTGTTAGCTCGAATGGATTCAAGTCTACAATTCCATTTCCATCTCAACAATGAAACCCTCGAAATCAATCAAGTGAAATAATTTTGTCGAAATCTAATTAAGTTTTGAAAGATTTTAATGCTTTAACGAATTACTTGATTTTCCAATTTTACTCAATTTTGATTTTCCGCAACAAGAAATTTGTGTAGGATTTCTATTTTCATTTCTAATAATAGTCAGACAATGCATTCTTAAAATCATGTTTCTCATTAAAATTGACATCATATGAAGAGGAATGTGGAAACAAATCATGTAGATTAAACAGAGATTGAAATGATGAAAGAGAATTGCATAAACGTGTTCAACATAGAATCATGAAAATTACGGATGAGGAAGCAGAAATGAAACTTTTGTGACAAAAGTTGTTAAAATTATTGCCAGCATTCCATGTAAGTTGAAAGTTCTTCTTTTCAGACTATAATGACGGTACTTGAAGTTAGATATTTCAAGAAATGTTTAAAACTTCTTCGTTTATTCCAAATGTAAATCATACATCTCTCAGATAATCTCTATTTATTAAAATTTTCTTAAAGACAACTTTATATTGCCATTCAACCATCAAGATATTCAAATCAAATAGAGAAATAAGAGATGTTGAAATAATTTTCTTTCGATCAATGCAACAAAAAGGGAAAACTTCTTGTGCATGAAACGTCTGAACAAAGAAAGAAAATCTTTCATAAAAGTTTGAATGAATTTCCATTTCGAATTTCATTTTTTAAACGAAAATGTTGAAGAAAATCGTAAAAAAAGGTTTGAAGTTATTCAACTTCGAAGATGGCTAGAGATATTTAATGTAAAAAAAGAATTCATCTGAATCGAAATGATGAAAAGATGGAGAAGAAAGGAAAATAAATTTAAGGAAGTAGCTTCATCAGATATTTCATTTTACTTCAACATCCAAGTGATTAATGTAATGACTACTTGTTGTGATATATCTACATAATTGAAGAGCTTTTATGGTTGTATGCAGAAGGCGAAGGTTCTTATTTGCCTCCTGTAAATATTTGTCTGTTGTCGCTTCATCTTTACTGCTTTTACGCTCTTATTTGTATTAAATGAAATACGCTTCTGCACCTTTTTTCTATTGTTGCCTTCCATCATTGTTAGTTGTTAGATGAATGAAAATGTTTTCCTTGAACAAGCTTTTATTGTGAATTGATCATGAAAGGCAGCAATTCTTAATCAAAATAAAAGTTCTTCTAGCCTTTCGCGCATTTCCGGACGAAGTGAACGAGTAAGAGACAGAAATGAATAAATTCCATAAAGAAAAACTTTTTTTAATTATCTTTTATTGTCTGTTGGATGAAATCCAAATAAGCGTCAACTCTTGTAAATATTTCTGGTTCTCCCATAATTTCACAAGATTCATATCCGTTACTGACAAGTCCAACGAGTTTCTTTTTACCTTTGCGATAAATCACAAGAGCTTGACCTGAATCACCTTGACATGTTGAAGCTCTAATGCCTCGACCACAAAGAATTCTATCAGAAATTTCCGAGTAATCTCTTGTGAAGAAGTTTTGACATCTTTTAAGTGATAAGATTTCATAACGTGCCCAATTTGGTGACATTGCTGTCGGTCCTGCTGAAAGCTTAATTTTTTAAATTATCTAAAATATTTTAAATTTCATTTTCATACAATCTCCATGTCTGCCATATCCTGCCACAATTCCTTGCAGACCAACGAAACTTTTTTCTACTTCAGAAGCTTGCGGCAATGAGACAAGTTCAAAAGCTGTCATAATGCATCATTTGCTTGAATTTACGTCAAAAGTAGCAACATTTAATGTCGACTTACTGTTATTAAGTGTTTCCAGAGATCTTTTGAGCTTCAAAAGTGCAAGGTCGTTCAATAGTTCCGTTTCGAAAGTGTAATTAGGATGAATGAAAGTCTTGGCAGGTCTCACAACATGATTTACATCATTAGTAACATTGCCAATGAAAACATCAAAGACTTTGAAGTCATAAACACAATGAGCAGCTGTTATTATCCACAATGGGTGAATGATACTGCCACTACATGAAAACCCCGACAATGTTTTCTGATCCTCACGGCTAAATATCTTCACTGTATACGAAAATTGCATTGATCTCAATCCATTGTAAATTCGATAAGAATTACTCTCGTTTTCTGAATCTGATGGAGCTCGGAAAATTGTTAAACTTACTTCGAAGCACAGAAGGAAAAAATAAATCAAAGCGATGAGTTTCATCATCGACATTTTTACATTAACTGAGAGATGATTACGAATGTCATGGGAGAATTTTTATTCGTTGATACAAACGTTGGAAACGCAGTCAGCTGATAACGAAGAAAACGTGAAAATAAGTCACTTAGTGAACTTTTGTGACTGATAACAAATAATGGCAATTGATCTCATGCCTGATGTCACCGCACATATTAAAATTTCGTGCAAAACTTCGGCACTGATAAAATATTCATTGCATATCATGTAATGCCTAAGAAAATTTCATTTGGAAATATTTAATAATATTAATAACAAAATTCATTTCTTCACTAAACATTCTCAGATTCTTAAACTTGGTTTGTTAGAGACAAACTTTAGTGCGGTGAATGTATTCGTTTTAAAGTTTAAGAAGATGAAAATTATAAAATGATTCTCGTGGTTCGTCACGTGCCCAAAGTACTGACGTGTGATGATAAATTTAAAAACAATAAGAAATGAAACTTGACGCAAAAGGTCTGTTTGATATATTAAAAGTTTTAATGACATCACGAAGCTGATCAAACACGAATATTTCATTTGAACTACTACAACATTGAATAAATTATAAGTAATAGTTCCATACATCTTAATATTTTAATTGTAATTTCTTTAAATTGGATAGACATCGAAAAGCAAATTTCATGAACTTAATAGCAGCTCAACAGTCATGAAGTTTGTAATATTATTCATCGTTTTTATCTGCAACTTAACCATTTGCCTTAGTGGCCCAGTGGAGAAATGTGAAGAGGCCATGGAGTGTCCCGAAGGTCAAGTTTATAAGTTGGGGCCAACCTGGGATTGTGACAATCGCATTTGTCGTGGAGCGAATCCATACTGCCAAGATCCTAATGCAAGAGTTGCTCGTTGCTTCTGTGAAGATCCCATGGAAAGCATGGATGGAAACAGATGTGTAAGACAGTGTCCATTATATCCATAAAAAGCTGTACTGGTATTTTCACAATTTCAATCAGTTTCTTAATAAAATGGAATTTTTAAAACTAAAATATATGAAAATAATTTTTTCTGCTTTTATCAAAGTTTCACTTATTGTGAAAAATTCATCCAACGAGTTAAGTTGCCAATACATTCAGCAAAATATAATTCAGAAAATAGACAATGAAAAGGCTATGAATTAATAGAAAACTCATCAAATTTACGCCACTTGAACAGTTATAAATTTTGAAAATATTCTTCATCATTGTTTTCTTCAACGCAATAATGTTCTTGGTTTGGAAAAATTGAAACTGTAAATGTTAGCGAAGGTTGGATTTATAGTATTGAGCCCACTGAAAATTGTGTCAATCACATTTGCGAAATGATTGCGAACGTCTTGGGAGAATTTTTATTCTAGTTCAAAAGTTGGAAACGCAGTCAGCTGATAACGAAGAAAACGTGAAATTCTGCCACTTAGTGAACTTTTGTGACTGATAACGAATCGTGTCAATTGATCTCATGCTTAATGTCACCGGTGAGTTTAACGACAATGTTATAATTAATATTGAGAAGTCTTACCAAGAATTGTGACGTTACCATTTAATGAGAGAAACTTTTGAGCTTTTGATGTTCATATTTGGTATCTATTTCTCACTCTTTCATTCCTTCTTTCTCACCATGACAAAGTTTCTGTTGAAGTTGATTGCAAACAAATGCACGGAAAATAATTGTTGACAACTTCAATGCATAAATTAAAATTTTATAGTCGACGAAAATTTCCTCATGAAATTTTTGCGAAGCTTAAAATGAAATTCACGAAGAATCTTTTTAGTTGCTGCTGATGAAATTGACAACGAAGACAACGATTTAGCGTCATTGCACGAAGTAGATAAGATGAAATTAACTTTTTCTCGATAAAGATGATAAGCAAGTTGAGTTTCTGGGAATCTTTGGAGCAGTGCAATTAATATTGAATCTGACACGATTGAAAGCGAGATTTATCATGATTGTGAGAACAAAACCAGATGCTTGCAGAACGATTTCGAACTCCTTCTTCTAACTGCTGCCATTAGTGTCTGCTAACTCTTAGTAGGAACAACCATGTCTGAGTGTTTTTCTCTCATAAATAATTCAAAAATCTTCCACTCGTTTTTCAAATTCTTATAACTTCACACTTGCTGGAAAAAATAAATTTTCAAACATTTTTCACTCAACAGCAATTTTTGAAACTTTTATGAGAAGATTTTTTCTCATGTTCAAAGTGAGATTGTGATAAATGTTGCTTAAAGTGTTATCAGTAGAGATGAAGTGAAGTTAATTTCTTAAAAAAAGCTTCAATGTCCAAACAACACGTCAACAGATGTACATTAAAATGAAACATGTGAGTCAACATTAAAAGCTTTAAGTAGAAATTGTCAATTAATTCATGGCATGAACGTCAAAATCTTTGATAGCAGCTCAAAATGACTTTGGGCTTGTTGTTGGACGTGTTCATTATTTATTCAACTGACAGATGACGATAAAACTTTTTTTAGAAATCTTAAAATATTTACAAATCTTTTTATCGCTTTCTGCTCGTGTCTGTACGAAAAATTGGATTTTTCATTTTTCATTTTATCAATTCGTTGATCAAGAATGTCTTTGATTGAAGAGGTCGAACATTTTTCATTTGAAAGTTTTAACTTGGAACTTTAAATGATGAAACATTTGAATGATTGCCGCTTTAATATAAGTAATAATTCAAAGTTACGCATTGTACATCATCATCATCATCATCAGTTTTTGATGATAACCTAATGACAGAGAAATGTTTTCTTGAACACATTTGTTCATCATCCATTACACAAGAATATTTTATAATTAATTATAAACGAATTAATCTCAAAGTTATCGAAATGGAAGAATTTTTTAAGTCTTCCCAATGAACTTCAATTTTTGTTTTTAAAATTTCTTCTCAAAGAGAGACGATTCATTCGTCTAATCAATTATCATGATGATGTATGACGCTCATTACGACTTTTCACATAAATGATAAGCTAATGGCAATGAAATTAATTTTTGAAGACATTCACGAACTTTTGAGATCATGAGCGCTTTAAACGATGACAGTTTTATGTTGTGTAATAAATATGCAGAGAGAAGATTTGAAAAGATTAATGAGCTGCTTAGCTTTCTACATCATAATCAAACCCGTTTGAAGCCTGCTCCGAATTCTTATTAGCAAGAAATTATAAAATTAAGAAGCTTTTCATGTTTGTTTCAGCTTGTTGCGGGCTTAAAGCGACATAAATTAATCGGTTTAGAAAACCTCAGATTTTCCGTTCAACTTTATCCAAAAAAAAGGAACTTAATGAAAATTTATGCATTTTCACGTGAAGCTCATTCCAATTTTTATAGGATTTAGAACCACATTCATTTTAATATAGCAATTTCATATTTTTGGAATCCATTAATTTTCATTAAAAATGACATTTAGTGTATTGCTGAACAATGATTGCATGTTCTCTCAGCAGACTGTGTTGTGTTTGAGGTTTTGGTCCATGCACAAGTTTTTCGGTTCGAAAGCAAGCACTGTGCAAAACGAAACAGATTCCAAAATTCTGTAAAATTTAACGACATAGTCACAAAAAATATAAACAAAAAACGAGTTAAGTTTGACATTGGATTCCCTCCCGAAAGCAATAAAACTAAAAAGAATTTTCTACTGCTTCAGCTTAAAAGCGTCGTGATTGAAAAACTTGTTAAAATTTGTATTCCGAAAATGCTTTGGGACTTATTTAATACTTTTGCACAATCACAGAAGTTAAAAATGCAGATTTATGCTAATTTGTCTAATTATAATTAAAAGCATTTGTAATTTCACGCCCCATAAAGTTTTTTTTCTTCTGATTTTCATTTAAACGAATCACAATTCGCAGCATGTAATTGTCTCTTAGCAGAGTTTTAGAATGTTCATGCAGCTTTTCCTAAAACTTTTGAATTACAAATGAATGTCTTTAATGAAGAAATTTATTTTTTTATACAACTTTCAATTAGGCATATTAAAAAAAATTTATTTTAATTATTTAATATTTCATGTGCTTTATTCTTCGATTCTTTGAAAGTTTCTACAACTTTTTTTATGCTACCAAAGTTTTAAGCTTCATTGTGAATATTTTTATTATTTGGGTTTGTAGCAAGTACAAACCAGTTTTGAACTGCAATATCCGCCTGGTCTTTTCAAAGCTTTCATACACCAAGTGTTGCAAGCAGCGTTTCTCAGAGAAAAGGGAACCCACTTCGAAGTACACGCAATTCCCCGGCTTGATCGCATTGGATCTTTGAATATTTTATTACGTTTTTAATACTTAAATTATTTGATTTTTGTCTCACTGAATTATCATATTCACCTTCTGACTCAGTTGAGTCTCCAATGCTGAATGATGAACACATTGCAATTGCCATTGCAATGATGAAAACGAATAAAACAAACTTCTTCATTTTTCTTACTGCTTTAGAATTTTAAAGTTTTAATTCTCGTATTTAGGTTTGGAATGAAATTTTAAACGATTTCTTAAGCTTTATATATGCTTCATTGCTAATTTGAGATTGTGAAATCTTTAATACGCTTGATCCCCTTATCTGAATTAATAGCAACGTCAACAAAGCAATAAAATTATCTAATTTGATAGTTTGTGAATTTCTTGATATCTAACTCCGATGGGGGTTTGCTACATTTGTTCTACAGATTAATGATAAAATGGTTGTAAAATGTATTAAGCTTGCAATAAAGACAATTAAATTATCAATGATTAATACTGACAACTTTTAAATGAATTTAATTTCATAATACTTTTATCAATTCAGTTTAATTTTTATTGTTCTTATAGAGCTCGGCGACATAATTAATCAAATCTTATTGTGAAATTGTTCTTCATAACATAAGTAAATAAAACGTTCTCAGACATTTTTCACTTTAAATAAAAATAATTTTGTCGTCTAATAACACAAAAAATACTTTCAAAAATAATTCAGATTCATTCAAATCGATCGATAAAATGTTTCCGTATGCAGAGCATTTGTTGGCTAAAGCTGAAAGTCTCAAGTGTAGCAGGATAATAGCAGCAGTCACTGAGACTACAAGGGTCATCAAACACAACAGAAAACTATACAAACACTGGAGAATTCTTCTCTTTCCAAATTCAAAATTGCCACTTTACGACAATTTTAAATTATTTCCATTGTCTAAATCTACATCCATAAAATGTTCCGCAACATAAATCTGAGCCAATTTGGGGTCCGCAAAACTTTATCTTCCTCTGTTCTCTCATTTGTTACGAAAGTTTTCCTGCTGACTTTGTGCGAGGGTGTCTAGATAACACCATTTTTTTTAAGAGAAACGAAAATCTCTGTAAGCAAAATATTTATTAAAATTTTATACTTTTCACCATGGAAATAGTAGCATCAGTTACATATATCTATGCTCTCAGTTTCAAATCAAATTTTAATTTGAATGTGTTGTTGTTGTTTATGATTTACTACGAAAGTTTTGAATTTCTACCTCAACATATTTATATCAGAGCTTGAAATTTCTTTATAATTTCACAATCTCAATTTTAACAAAGTTTGTTGGATTTAAATTTTAAATCGAAAGAAGAAGAGAACTATCAAGAACTTGCACGTAAGAAAAAAAATACAAGAATCACCACTTTGCATGGTAAATGTTTCTACTTTACCTTTTTGAATAAAGAAAAAAATTGCAACTCCAATAAAAGCACATGAATCTCATATTTTCACCCACACGTTATTAAAAATATGATTTACTTTTGCTTCTCTTCCACATCGCATTTAATGTTGAGCAGCTTCAATTTTTCATAATAAAAAATCGTGATGTTGTAACAATTTTGTTCAATGCTGGTGGAAATAAATAAATGAAAAGACGCCAAACGCACATACACACACTTCTTTGCCGTGCTACCAAACTTAATGGATTTTTTACTTTTATTCATCAAATTTCAGAGTCATCTCGCAGCTATGTTTTCGGATAAAAGCAACGGTGATTCATGACTTTTCATTGTTTGTTTTGCAAGCAAGGATTTAGTCCTTGGCGTGTCCTTTTTTCCGCATGTTGTGCTTAGTGAAAAAGCAGACCGCAATCTTGAATGATTATGCTAGGAAAAGTCAAAAAATACTTATTTATATAATTTAAACACAACGAACAAATCAACAACTTTTCTCTTCTTCCTTCGCTTCTGTTTCTTGCCAAGCTAGAAACTTTTACTTATCCTTATCGGCTTACGAAACTTTTTTTCTTCGCTCGAGAAGGGAATTTAATGTAAACTTTGTGATTTTTTTCCAACAGTATGTTTATGTTCATGAGAATAAAAAAGTTTAATGTTAGAGATAATAATTTTCTCCTCTAGTTGAATATGAATTAAATATTGAGCGTCAGATTTTCTTTTTGTATCGAAACTTCCTAAATGGATTTACGACTTTGTCTTAAACGCTTGTGATGGGAATTATGATTTGATGTGAAAATCCAGCTCAAGCTTAAATTGATGATTTTTCTCTGCACACAACATCAAAGTTTTGTTTAGTTGAGATTATGAACAACAGAAAATATTGTGGGAAAAAGTTCTTCTATGTGCTTTATTGTTCTCAGATTTTTTAGAGATATTAACAGTTCATGTTTTGATATATCTTTTTAAAAAACATTACGAAATTTTAAACGATAAATTGCAAATGAATATATTTTAATGTTCATTTGTAACTAATGCAAATTGATTTTGGATGACAATGCCCACCAAGAAACATTTACACACCATCGCATCCGTTACAAGTTGAATTTTTATTATTAAAAGATACTTAGTGTAGTGAATTGTGCAGAAGTTACTCCGTGCACAATCAGATTGCGATGTGGCTGTGAATATTTTATTAATGAATATGTTATTATGGGACAAAAAAAATATTTTGCTTTGAAGTTGGTTGATGTTTACCTTCAACTATGGATTGTAATGAATCTTTAGATATGAAAGTTTTCTTGACTGATTTATTATGAATCAAATATTGCAACAAAACTTCCTTAACGATGTTAATTTAAATGCTTATGAAGGAATTCTAATTTGACATAAAAAACATCGCAATCATTAATTTCCATTCTCTTTTTTACAAACCACTTTAGAGTTTATTTTGATTGTGTTGAAAACTTTATTTCCAAATTTTCCAATGCTTTTTCAATTTATAAGTTTAAGAGAAAAATTTGAAGAATTGAAGTTTAATTAGACATGAAATTTATCTTTGTGTTCATCTGTAACAAGTGCAAATCAAAGTTTTACTGCAATATCCACCTCGTCTTCCTGAAAGGCCTCTACAATACGTGTTGCAGTTGCTGTTTCTTTTCGAAAGAGAAAGCCATAACCATCTGCAGGAGTAAAATCCACGAGCAGATCGGACTGGACCTGTAAATATTTCATTACTTTTACTTATGTTCAAAACCCTTTTTTCTCATATTTACCTTCAACTTCATCTGAAGTTGCGAAAGAATTTTCGTCATCAGAAGGAGGCGATAATAATGATTTTAATGATTCTAGGAATATTTTTTTTAAAATTTAGTATAAAACTTTTACGCCTTCCGTTTCATGCAAATATTCACCTTCGATCTCACTTGAGCTTCCAATGCTGCTTGAAGAACACAATGCAATAGCCATTGCAATGGTAAAAACAAATAAAACGATTGTCTTCATTTTTATTTTCTGTTTCAGAATTTAAACTTTTAAATCTTGTGTTTAGGTTTCGAATGATGTCTTTGAACAATTAATTGAGCTTTATATACAATTTTTTAATCAACTTGATATGGTGAAATATTTTACTTCCGTTTGTTTGTAGGTTTATGATCAATTGTTATTAAGAAATAAATTTTCGTTATCATTCTGGCAAGTGATAAAATGTATTAAGCTTTTCGAAATTAGATTAAACTAGATTAATTTTTAATTACTTTTGACATAAATTGATAATTTGTTTTTTGCGATGTGGGCTTAGATTAAAGTTTGACGACATCATTATCGGTGCAGGTGAAACACATTTCTTCTTCACTTCGTACTTACTTCAATATGAGTTAAATATCGAGCGTGAGGTTTTTTTGTACCGAAACTTCCTGAACGGATTTACGACTTTGTCTTAAACGGTTGTGATGAGAATTATGATTTAATATAAAAACGCAACATAAGCATAAATTGGCATTTCTTCTTCACATATAACATCAAAATTTCTTATGGCTGGGATTATGGACAAGAGAAAATCAAAAGTTCATCCTTCTGTCTCTATGAAAAATGAAAAATCTTTTTGATTAATGAAAGAATTGTCAGAATCTACGAGGAAGTAATTGTTAGTTATTTTTTCCTCCTATTCAACCTTTAAGAATATTCACAGATCTTTCATAAAGTACAATGAAGTTCATTATTATCAGACAACTTTCAACATCTTTTCAAAGTTGTTTAGTAAGGAAATTTTTAAGACATGTGTCGTTGTGTATTGTCAATTGCTTTGGAAGCATCAGGAAATTTCTGATAGTTATGAAGCAGCTATGAGGAAACATTTTAAGCTTAAACGATACTATGAAAATATTGTTTGTGATGTGATTCCTTAACAATCGAAATATCATTGATGCAGTGCACTTCTTTTCGTGAGTATTACAAGATTGATATTCAGAAATAGTTTATTGGGATTTCGTGCTTCTGAAAACTTTTACTACATCAGAAAAATTTTCTTCGCTTACTTTCTCGTAATCAATAAAAATGATAAACAAAGCTCAAAATGATGGAGAGAAGAGAAAGATCTGAAGAGAAATTTGCATCTACGTGTACGTGTACTTCCTTAATCATTCAGTTCAGCACGACATAATGATGAATTTTGTTCATTCATTCTCCGGCTTAAAATGATTGATGGTTAAGGAAAATTGCATGATTTGAGGAAAACTTTTGACTTCATATAAATCTCTCCATCCACGTTTGTTCACGAAATGAGTTTTCCACTAAAGTAATTTTGATGCTCCGGTGGTTTAATTTTTCTTTCTCCTTCTCTCATTGGAAAAGTTTTTTTCTTTCTTTCTGTTCTCATATATTAATTTCATCATCATGTGGATGCAAAAATGTTGTCGAACAGATTTCTAACCCCATAGCGAAATACAAAAAAGGATCAAATGTGTCAAAAGCAAACACAGAGAATAATAAAATAACATAAAAGAATGAAAGTCGTCATAAATCATTTTTTCTTTCCATTAAGCAATAATATCAAATCATTGGCAAAGAGAAATATTGCTTCATTTATATACTCCTTTTTAATTGTGACTCATAAATTGTTTCCTTTACCAACTGAAATATGGAAGGAGAAAATATCATGAAATTGAAATGTCTCGTAAACAGAAGCTTTCCTTGTTAAAACCTTAAAACAACAATGTTATTCCTTAGTATTCTGTCTAAAACTTCTCAAATATGAATTTTGAGAATTAGATAGACAAAGTATCTATAATTAGAAGAGAGAAAAAACATTACTTAAGAGCACTTCCATTAATCTGTTTCGAAGTTTAATTAGTGAAGAAATATCCTTGAATCTTAATTTGACTTTAATCCTTTTTGTGGGAATTCCCCATGAAAATATTTTTCGTACCTGTGCACAGCTGTGTATGTAAACGCATCCAACATTTATTGCACGTGTTCATTTATTAACTAAACAATACATAAACAATTGATCTGATACAATTAAGTGGACATCTGTTAATCCTCTAAATTTCTTAAATTCCCTCCCACTTTGAGAATTTTTCTCTCAATATTCTTCAACTTCTTGAAAGTTATAATCAAGAAAGGTTTTTAATTCAATTCTTCAGTTTGAAAGACACAGTCGATCAAGAAACATCAGAATTTTTATACTCTGCGAAAAACCTTCAAATAATTTTTGAAATTAATTCAATTGAAATTTTTATTTAGATAGCAAGAAACATATTCAAAACAAATCTTAAAATGTCACGATTTGCAATTTGTAATCTTGATAGAGTTGAAAAAGAATTTATGTGGAGCGTTTGTGGCCTGCAAAATTTTGAATTCCCTTCAAATTGTTATGTGAAAACTGAAAACTTTCCTTTGGAAAATAGTGACGAATCATGGTAAGGAAATTTATAAAGAAAACTTGACTAAATTTGTATTAATTTTTATTTACTTTGCAGGTTCATTAAGCTGATGAAAGATGGTAGAAATTTATCATTCTCTTTCGAATGCGAAAATCTTCCAAGCTTCGTCGCCAACTTCGAAGTTAAAATTGTCGCTGATCAAGGGCGAGAATTGTGCATAGAACAAGTGATGTTTTCACCGGATTTCTGCTCGAAACATTTCTATATCAATGATTCAACAATGGTGGTTAAATTCAAAGTTTGTTATGAAATCATCAAATCAGTTAAAGTAAAGGAAACTGATGCAAATGGGATCACCAACGAAACTTATATGGATAACTTCAGCAACAAAACTGATCCAAATGCATTCAACAACGAAACTGATCCAAACGCGATCAGCAACGAAGTTTACTCAAATGCGTTCAGCAATGAAACTGATACAAACGCGGTCAGCAACGAAGTTTACTCAAATAACTTCAACAACGAAGTTTACCCAAATGCGTTCAACAACGAAATTTATCCAAATGGACTCAGTAACGGAACTGATCCAAACGCGGTCAGCAACGAAGTTTACTCAAATGCGTTCAGCAACGAAACTGATCCAAACGCGGTCAGCCACGAAGTTTACTCAAATGCGTTCAGCAATGAAACTCCTGGCACTTCTTCAGAAGATGAAGTTATTGTCATCGAAGATGATGACTCGGATGATGATTGGAATGTTATCTCAATGAATGAATCAGTTGATGGAAATATTCATGATGAAGAAAACAACACTGCAAACGAAGACGGCCATCAGACAACAATTGATGATGGCGAAGAAGAAGAATTTTTTACAGAAGATCAATTCACGATTCTCAATGCTTCCTCAATCGAAGAAACTTCATCAGTTGAAGAAGAATCGGAAGAACAAGCAGCAATGATCAACGATCCTCGAACAAATCATCATATTGAGAAAGCATTTGAAAAAATTCCAGCATTCCTTGATATTATCAATAATGAAACACCGGAAAAATGGGAACATCTACAAAATTTATGGAGAGACTTCGGCGATGTGGGGCTGCCAAAAGAGGTTCTCAATGTTTGGGAAACCGCTTTGTCCGACCACATAACTTTAGAAAATTTCTTTAATATGTTTACATTAGCTTACATTTGCAAATTTGAAAAATTGAAGGAATTTATCATCACCGATTTCATTTCTGAATATGAAAATGAATATGAAGAGCTGTTTAACTCAGATGGTTGGAAGGAGTTAGAATCAGGAGAGAATCGTTGTCACGTGGTCTTCGATTTTGTTAGAAAATTCAGAGAATGCTATGAATTTCTATGAATAATTCGTTTATAGCAAAGGAAAATCTTGTAAAATGTAATTTGATGTACTTAAATATAAAATAAAAATATTTTCAAATCCCAAATTTCCATTGATAAATTTTAATAAATTTTAGAAAATTTTCTTTTTACAGATTGTTGAATCAAATAAATAATTTTTTGTCACACTGCATCACTTAAGCTGCAGAAAAAAATTTAATTAATTTTCCAAATATCTCAAAAGTCTTTTAAGAGAAAGAAAAAATGATAGCAACGAGGGCAACTGCATTTTTTTTTTTTTTTTTTTTTAATT